AGCGAGGGGCCGAGTTACGCTCGACATCACATCCATGGTGGGACGATCCCATGACCAAAATGTTCGAATGAGGTACGATCCCTTGACTAGCTCGAAGGCTCGGTCCATAGGCAATCAACACAATCACACAACGAACCAACAACATAAAAGATGATCGGAGTAGCACATAACCATAGCACAAGAGGTAGACACCAAAGCATAAGAGATAGACCAGCACAAAGGCATGGCACAAGCATTCATAGATAGATCATCAGGCATAGATATAGATAGATGATGTATATATGAACAAGGATAGATGACATGAATACAATGAAATCAAAAGTAGGGGTTTTATCGACGTCGAAGATGGCATCGATGGGGTTTCAAAAGGCTCGGCCTTGGTGGTGAAGAGGGCGAAGCTCTGCTGCGGTGTGTCCGGGCATGCTGCGGCCATCTATGGCCTGCTTCTGGCTGGCTGTAGCTAGCTATAGCCCGCTGTTGGCCGGCCATGGCTGGCTATGGCTGGCCGGGGGTGGCTGCAGCTTGCTGCAGGTGACTAGAGTTAGTTGCTACTGCTGGACACGACTTCGGCGGCAAGGAAGGAGGCCAGCGAGGTAGGCATCGTCACCCAGCTTCCAAACAATGGAGCAGCAAGGTCACAACTTCCGTACGACGGTGAGAACGGTGGCACGAAGGCTGGGCTCAGGAGAGAATGCGACGAGAAGGCAAAAAGCGAGGAGCTTGGCTGCTGGTTGCTCACCAATGGTAGGAGAGAAGCTCGTCGGTGAGGTGGCGGTGCTGTTCAGCGCTGATGAAGCAGTGGTAGGGAAGGCTGCGGACATAGGCTGGGTCGCTGGGGCATCACGATGGTGGAAGTAGCGGCTCGGGCTGGAGGTGCTCCGAGCGGCGACGTGGATGGCGCGGTGGTATTTGGCTTGGTGAGGTGCTCGTGGACCAGGAGACGCTCAGCGAGGCGAAGTAGGAGCTCATGGTGGCGCTGCTTGTCGTAGGCGGTGAAGCAGAGGTGGTCGTCGTTGAGGTTAAGGCAGGGAGGGGTGCTGGTAGTGGCACTACCGCTCGGAGGAGACGGCAGCGTCGCGAGGTGGAAGGAGGAGGTGGTGAGTAGGATCAGCGAGGTGGTGGTGGCGCGGACATGGAGGTGGTCAGGGACGTCGAGCGAGTCCATGAGGTGGAGTAGAGGAGGGCCAGGCAGCAGCATCCATAGGGCGGAGTAGGGACGGTGGTCGCGGCTACTCTGGCATGCTTGCGTGGCGAGGAAGAAGGCCGGTGGCGCATGGTGTTCGACGCTGCGAGCAGGAATGGCAAGGCATAGGTGCTCGTCGGCGGTAGAGGCCGACAGGCCAAGGGCGGAGCTCGACTGCTGTCGCGGCTACGACACCGGGTGTCATGGTGAGGTCATGGCGTGCTTGGTGGGCGACACTGCTCGGAGGAAGGGGAGCAGCGGCGGCTTGGGTGGCACGGTGGTCAGCTGCTTGCCATGGCCAGTAGCGGTGGGAGGAGCATGGCGAGTAGGGCTCCGATGGGCTCAACGTGGCTACAAGGAAGGGGAGAAGGGACTGGCGGTGACGGTGAGGAATGGAGCAGAGGAGCGACTGTAGTGGCTTTTATAGCAGCACAAGCGCTAGGGTTCGAGGTGATGGACGGCGGTGGGCCACGACGTCCGTACTCAAGGGCACATGGCGGCCTTCAAGCGGAGAAGCATGGACGCGCTAGGGTGTGGGATGGGATGGCTAGCGGCGGTGCATGGGAGGTAGGGGCGCGTGGCGCCTAGGGTTTGGCCGCGGTTGATGGGCCTACGGAGGCCGAGCGTCAGGGCCTGCGGGGGCCAGTCAATGGGCCTGCGGAGCCTGGTGGGCTCACGGGCCACGTGCGCGAGTAGGCCGGTGAAGTGCTAGTGTTGTGGCTTGGCTAGGCGGGCCGTGTGTTGTTGGCCACGCAGGCCAGGCGAGGTGGAGGGAGGGGCAAGCTGGGCCGACGACTTTAGCTGGGCCAGGCTAGGGGGAGGAAACCAGTTGGGCCATGGGGTGCTACTCGGCAGCTGGGCCAAGAGGAGGGGAAGGGAAAAGGTGGGCGGAATTGAAGGAAAGGAAAATGGATTTTTCCTTTAAGATTTAAGGGCATTTGCGATGAAATTCAAAAGAGATTGAGATGATTTCAAAGGGGTGATTTGAGAAGGCAATTAATGAGAGGAGGAGAAGGGATTTTTCTCCAATCCTTACTAGGGAAAAGATAGGAGGTTTTTCCCCATTTCGCTAAGGTGATTAGAGAGGAAAAAAGGGAAAGGAACTTTTCCATTTATATGAATTAGGTTTCAGGGAATTTTAAAGGGAATTCAGAGGGGAATTCAAGAAGGGATTGAAAGGAATTTGGTTACGGATTTGTGCACCCCAAACTCCAAATAAGGCTCAACTCAAAACCAACTCAAGAACACGGGCACTCTCCTACAATCATATTTATATGTGTGCACCAATTTATTAGCCATCTCTTCTTGGTTTGACTAAAGGTTGACCTAGCGACTACATGATTCACACATTGCAGGAAAAATTTTAAAAAGCTCGTATTTTTTGTTGCACAAAAACCCGGGTCGTTAGAGTGAGATCGTACATGCGCCTTGTCGGGCCGTATCTGGCCGGTGGTTATTGTGCCTGTCGTCACCGCCCTAGGGCGGTGTTGTCTTTTTCGATCTTCGTGGCGCAGGGCTAGCATCTGACCGGACATAGGTGACTGTTGTCCCCTCAGTCCTTGCGGGGTCAGTGAGGCATGCCCGCCCTTGTCAGAATAGGCGTACTTGGCAGGGCTCGACCTCTCCCTGACCCTTACAGGGTCGTGACGGAGGTGAGGTCATGCGCTTTTCAAGCGCCGTGCGACTAAGGCAGGAGATAGAGGTCGTGGCCGATCCTGGCCTTAGCGTCCGGCCTGGTTTGCTCGGCTCAGCTAGACCTTGGTCGTTCGGGCCTCCGCTAACTGGCGTATTGCGGCCCGCGTGGCCCGCTAACTAATCAGTGCCCTGAGATACCCGGGGTTATAACCTCGACATTTGTTTTCAAGTTTAATCTGGTATTTTGCAACTGGTTTAAACATATGTTCCAAGTGTTTCAGCTGTTTTGGATGGATGTTGCAAGTATTTCAGCTAGATGTTGAAAACGTAGATCGGATGTTGTATATGTTATAAATGTGACCCACCTACCACAGTCGAGTGCTGCAACTGCTAGGGCGCCGCCGAGCAGGCACAGATGGTCCCCCTGTGGGGTCGAGTAAGCAGTAGCATGCTCGTGCTCGTCCACCTCACGTACTACTGAATTTTCGTCTCTTTTTTTTTTGAGGGAACTGAATTTTCATCTCTTTGATTCATTATAACACTGACTCGGACACTTATAAGTGGGGTCTTCTTTTGTTAGCTAAATACTAGGATAACAAATGTCCACATTTTGGATTCATATACATTACCTAACATTACCGGCACAGGGCAGCAAAGGTGAACCTAGGCTATCGCCCCCATTGTTCTAGTCCTCCTCACATATAGATTTTTCAGATAGATTTATATCCTCTAATTGCCATAAGCTTCTCTAGATTTATATCCTCTAAAATAAAACACTCGGCGAACCCCCTCTTTGCCGAGTGTTTTTTTTTGACACTCGGCGAACCTTCTATTTGCCGAGTGTTTTTTTTTTTGCCGAGGGTTTTTAACGCAACACTCGGTAAAGAACTTGTTCGTCGAGTGCCCGAAGAAAAATACTCGGCAAACATAAAAACACTCGGTAAATTTGACGTTTCCGGTAGGGTAAGCTTTTCTCACATACACTGGAGTCACAGTCACGGGAGATGGATAGAATAGACTAGTCTGGCTAGTGCCAACAACCGTATCATCAGCCGCTGCTGGCGATGACATTTACAAACAAGTAGAATCAGCTACTAATTTCTCGTCGAGGTTGCATGTACTGGGAGGGTTTAATACCCTCCCTCTGTATATACATTTTCTTCTTATAATGAAATAACACACATTTCTCCTACGTTGTTCGAGAAAACAAACTACTAATCCCCCTCCCTCATTTTAGTGAAAAATGTGATTGCTTTTCTCAAGTGGTTGGAGATGTTTTAACTGATGCATTGTTGTTTCCCTTTATCCCAACATGAAATTTCAGAATTTAACACCAAATAATTAAGACCTTGTTTATATGTTGTAGTATTAAAAAAACCATAGTTATTAAGAAACTATAGTTTTAGAACCATTGATATGTAAAATTATGGTTTAAAAAAAATGTCTAGAGTGGAGTTTTTAAAACTCCAAAAAGAAGCAATACCATGGTATTCAAAACTATAAAATTTATTGCACCCAAACACTTCATGATACTCTGAAACTAAAGTATTACACAAAATTATAGTATTTTTCTAAAAATACAAAATACTTTGTATCCGAACATGGCGTAAATATGCATGCCTCAATTGAATAAATGGACTCGTTTCGCAGGTCATTTGTGATTTGACACCACAGGTGCGATGTCGACGGCGCTTACGACCTTTCGTCGGGCACCATAAAAGTCCGAGGCACACATACTACTAAAAATTCCAAAATTTCTCCATCCCACCACTATCTACCTGCGCATGACTATGACTACAGAGAGAAACCAGAATACGATGCCTGCGCAATCTTTGTGAGGTGCTCTCTACTAATGCAAATATGCATTATGCAACGTGTTACTGTTGTTGAGACACTGACCTATTGTTTGACCAACCATTTTAGCATGGATTTACAAAATTTATAATTTTCTTTTTTTAGTATTCTAAAATATTAGTACGGCCCAAAACTTTATCAGCCCAATACACTCCATTGCATAGAACAAATTCATCAAGCCCATAGTATCAGGCCCGGCCCATTAGGGTTCCTCGCCCAACCTATAAAAACTAGTCCGCCTCCACCACTTCCCTCGTCAGCCGCCATATCACCCCCGGTAGGTTTAGGTCTCCTCTCCGCCGCCTCCAGCTGCGGGGAGCTCGCCAAAATGGTCGCCCACAGGGTAAGCTTCTTTCGGCGGCACCGTCTTCTCCGCCTGCTCTCAATCCACCGCTTTGTTCCTCTTACCGGCGCGGCTGCTGATCTGGGCCGCTTTTGTGTAATTTGTTTCTTCGACCCTGCAGTTCCATCAGTACCAGGTGGTGGGTCGCGCGCTGCCAACCCCCGCTGATGAGCACCCCAAGATCTACCGCATGAAGCTCTGGGCTACCAACGAGGTCCGCTCCAAATCCAAGTTCTGGTCAGTGCCTTGTAGTCTAGTTGACGATGATACCGTGCTTATTTTGTTGCTTTGGTGTCTGTTTCGTGACAATGGCTTGGGTCTTGTGCGCGCGAAGGTACTTTTTGAGGAAGCTCAAGAAGGTTAAGAAGAGCAACGGTCAGGTTCTCGCTATCAACGAGGTACAATACAACCAGTTCTCTTACTGTTAATGCTGATCTATTTGATGAATTTGCGTTAATGGGTTTCGTATTTCAAACATTTGGTCGGTAGGTTCTGTTAGTGTGTTGCTTTTGCTGATTTTATTTATATTGTGAAGTTGATGCCCTGCCCCACTAGTCACTACATTCCATCATTGTTGATTGGTTAAATGCAATAGATGAATGGTTAATGCTGCCCAAATTGAGAAGTGAGTAGCATAGGCAGGCCTGTTTCAGTTGAACTCTGAAATTGTAGTGATGAACATTGTCATCTGTTTTGTTCAAATGTTGGATCGTGGGGATTTGGTTTGCTCTTTGATTACTTCAGCAATGAGTGGTGCTATTCTACTCTGAGTGTCTGACAATGTACATTAGATGCACATCTACTGGAGGACCATTTCTTAAGAACTCGTCTGCTGCCTCTATTTGCATTGAGTTGTAACTTTTGTCTGAGTATTTCTTGTCAAGCAGTGTATAAGCGAATATATCTTGATGTACATTTTAACAAAGTGCCTTTGATTACAACTAAAAAGTACCCCCCCTTTTATATTTACACTTATATTATTTAAAATATTTTTAGTTGAAGGTTGATTAGTCAAATTCAAAATTAGGAAGTAAATGCAAACGGGGTGATGCATGTTTACAATTTTCAGCATTAGAGTGCTTATGTCTTGAAGAGCTTCCAACTAGCTAATGCATTTCAAAAGCTTGTTGGAGCTATGTCAGTTTCCAATGTTAGACTTACCACATAGTAGTCATGTTCAATCATATTATGCCCCACCTTACTTGCTATATTTGTACGAACCCTGTTGATCTGACTTTGTAATGAGATGTGTTAGTTTGCATTATAGCAATCTGATCAAGTACTTGGCTGTTGACTGGTGCTTATCTATTTTGCAATTTTGTAAGTTGCTGAGTGGGTTTGCTTGTTGCATTTTGACTAGCCCTAGGTGGATGTTGCTGTACCAGAACTAATGAGAATGGGTTTGCAATCGTAGAGTTAATTGTCTTCCAAGAGCCTATGGGGAAATTGTATTATCTAGGGCTGTAGAAAATTTGTTTCTGTTCATCATTGTCTCTTGAAGCACTTGTCTGCAAATTTAAGTGTAGTGTTTCTTTTCTTTTTCATGTCTGCTTCAAAACTTGCTTTATCTTTCACAGATCTTTGAGCGTAACCCTACCACAATCAAGAACTATGGCATCTGGCTGCGTTACCAGAGCAGGACTGGGTACCACAACATGTACAAGGAGTACCGTGATACCACCCTGAATGGTGCCGTGGAGCAGATGTACAATGAGATGGCTTCCCGTCACCGCGTGAGGTCACCCTGCATCCAGATCATTAAGACGGCAACAGTTGACTTCAAGCTCTGCAAGAGGGACAACACCAAGCAGTTCCACAATTCAAAGATTAAGTTTCCTTTGGTTTACCGCAAAGTCAGGCCTCCAACCAGGAAGCTGAAGACCACCTTCAAGGCTTCAAGGCCCAACCTGTTCATGTGATCCAACTCACCCGACACCATCCCAAATCTGTGAGCCTAGCAGTCTGGGGGGTTGCTAGTTCAGGTTAATTGAATCTACATGCAACCTATTGTTTCTAAATTCTAGTTTTAGGTCCATGCCGTGGCCTTTATTAGCTTGATGAATATCCCCATTTCTTTCTGTACTTTACCATCTGCTGTCTTATAAATTATAATAGCTAGTTCAGATCTCATCTGCTTTAAGCTTTACTCAAATGCCTAAATTATTGTTTGCTTATGGCTTTGTGGCTGCAGTCTTCCCTTTGTCAAGAAAGTTGCAACATGATCTGGTCAAAGTTGTTTTACTCTGTACCCCTTGTCATTTGTTAATATTACCGATTGCTTGTTTAATTGAGTATATTTGCAATGCTCTTAAAGTAGTAAATTTTGCTAGTTTGGTGTTTAAGTTACGCCTTGTGTTTTTCTCAAAAAAAATCTTTTCATTACTTCGGACGGCAACTTTGCCAAGGTTACCAACTATAAATTTGGTTTCCTTTTTTTCCCTGTTGCCAAAATCACTGTTGCTACTGGATGTTTGAACTTTCCAATTCATGAGCTATTTTATTTGGTTTCATGGATGAGCATCCTTGCCAACATTGTTTAGTAAAATTACATTTCACTTGCGAAGTTGTATGAAACTTGCAGTGCTATGAATTCTCATGTATTCTTCCATTCCGCAGCATAATCAGGTTCTTTTTGCGTGACATTGTGTAATCTATTTGTTTTTCCATTAGTGACATTATTTTGAGATTTTGCCTTGTATTTTGAATCCAGGTGTGTTAATGTTTACCCCTTCTGAGCACGTATGCTAGTTTGGTTTCTGATTACCATTGTAAATTTTTTCGGGCAACTTTGCCAAGGTTACCAATATTTACCTCGGTTTCCTTTTTTTCCCTGTTGCCTATATCATTCATTGCTTGATTGCCGCACTCAATTCACCTTCATGGTTTTATTGTAGGCATTCTGGCAAACATCAACTAGTTCAATATTTTGAATCCAAGTGTGATCATGTATACTAATTTGGTTTCTGATTACCATTGTAAATTTTTTCAGGCAACTTTGCCAAGGTTACCAATATTTACTTTGGTTTCCTTTTTTTCCCTGTTGCCTATATCATCCGTTGCTTGATTGCCGTGCTCAATTCACCCTCATGGTTTTATTGTAGGCATTCTGGCAAACATATTTCATGTGCTTAAGTTCTTTTCCCAGAAAGTTCATAAGATCATAATCAACTCGTTATTGCCTCTTTCTCAGTAATGTTGCTTTTCCTCCCTGGTCATTGGCAATAGTTTACCAATTGTGGTACACTGGATTTAAATTGCATGGCTCGGAATAAATGTGATAAAAGTGATCACAATTGTTCGATTTGAATTTCTTGGTCTCCAGAAGCTACACTGGATTTAGATTGCATGGATCAGAATAAATGTGATAATCATTGTTGGAACTGAATTTTGTGGTCTCCAGAAGCCATTTGAAACTTTATTTATTTATTATATATATGTATGCATTATTTTAGTGTTATATATTTGTTTTCGGCTGTATTCTTGAGGCTGAACGATTTGTAGAGCGGTAAAGCTCCAGCTCAAACGCAAAACGTTTCAAAGAGCTGCCGAATGTTTTTCGGCCGCATCCTCAATGAGATGTTTCTCAATTGTATGTATTTGCACGACTGCAGTTACGTGCAGCATTGTTTGCCATCTGATTTGAGGGACTGATGATAATCAGTTAGAACTGCTCCCATCACTAGGACAAATTAGCTAGCTCGTGGACTCGGTTAATTTGGGGGCTTGTCCGTTTTTTTTTTTTTGAAAATGAGGTGAGCCATCGTTAGACGACACTGTAATTGTCCATGCTTGCGAGCCTAACAAGCCAGGGAAATATCCTGCGATCAGCCCCTAGCTCATGCTCAAAAGTATTGGGATTTTATAGAATTTTAATTACAAAATCCGTAGTTGACAAACCCAGCATCACAATAAAACTGTAGCATTGCATTGTTTACAGTAAATCTTTAAAATAATACCTCAACTTAATATATTTTGTTTTAACGAATATTTTTCTTGTGGAGATAAAACATAATATATTTTGTTAACAAAAAATTAGGGTTGAAGTTGGAAAATGCACGATCAAATTCCTTGCTTCATGACAATTGGTCTTGTTTGCTTGGCTTATGAGCTGTACTATTTTAGTGAATAAATAGTGTTTTTTTTCATACCAAATCACTAATAGTACTTTATTTTTTAGCAAAGAAAACAGGGGCAATAGTGCCAATGTTTGAACTATTCAAATGTCGAGCACACCCACAGGGGTGGGGTGACCCAAAGGCATAAAACTATGAATAGGGTTGTTTGGACCACATTTTGCATTATTACGAATCTAGATTATGAATTGGATTGTTATAATCTAGATTATGAATTGGATTGTTATAATCTAGATTACTTGGATCTCTGTTATAGGGACTGGATTATTGTCTATTAACCTATAATCTCCAATTAGTAGGTTAGAGATAGATCATAAGATTACAACACTATCGGTTGGAATATTAGAATCCAACATATCTGATTACTATGTTACAAAATTATGTCCCAAACAGATCTTAAGTTTATCCCCAATCAAAATTTGTTTTGTCAAAAATCGTGTGGCCTTGGCATGGTTTACGTGATGTTTGGGTGTTCCTTTGTCCAATTTACGTCCAAACAAGTGCTTACCAAGGTTTCAGTAACAAGAATGCAAAGGAAACAAAATTCCCCCCTGTCGATGTTGTCAGAAGCGATAACTTACACTAAAAAAATATGGGGAACATGATCTGAATCCAACAGCTCTCACCAGGATGAAGATGAATTTGATCGGAGGAACCACAAACCGGATACTTCAGCAGGTGTATGCTCTCTCTGTCCCCAAAAAAATCAATTTGTAGCTAAAAAAAATTCTCTAAAAGAATCGATTTCTGGTGAATGGTTTATGGATCCATGTTAATCTCTCGTAGTTTGGGTTGCATTTAACATCTTTCTCCTGCGTTGCTATCGGATACTTCAAACGACACTATTTAATTAGGCTTCTCAGTAACTAGAGAGCTATTAAGGTTCAGCGGTTCATTGAGGGGTAGCATGGTCTTTTATCTTCGTTACTAATTTGTCTAAAGTTGCTAGGAATTCATTTTTTTAGGGACAGAGGGAATATATATTGTCATCTGCTCAATCGTTTCATGTCACTATACTTACTATGTCCTAAATTATTTGTCGCTTTTGTTTTTCGTGCCGTAAGTTTGACTCGATTCATAGAAAATACGTGTGACATTTGTATCTCTAAATAAATTTATTAAAAAGTTATATTCAAAAATCTTTCCAATAATACCAATTATGTACCATAAACATTATATTTTTTAATATATATTTTGTCAAAGTTGTTTTTCAGGAAACAAAAACAACAGATATTTTAAGATGGAGGCATGTCAGGAAGAAATTCTGGCTTATATGGAGGCAACTCGAACCCTACTGACAGTTTACTAGGCCACACGTCCACATATTAGTGCACTTAATATGAAGTATCAGAACCTTACTTCCAGAAGACCATCACCCTGAAATTGAAGGGTCGAGGACGCGGCCAACAAAGACGATAGCACGAGACACCTCCTCGATCACAAAGAACACAAACGGGTGGTCAGCAACGAAATCCACCTTCACCGGCTGATTCATCACCGCACTTGCCCCACAGAGCATATAGCTGGTGGTGGCACCATTGGCAACGGTGCCTCCCTCGTTCACCTCCAGCACCGCCTTATGGCAGACGTCCGCAACGTACAGCGGCGTCGTCCTCGTCGCGCTTGGCCGCCATGTCGGCCAGGTCAGCTTCACCAGCAACGAAAACGGACTCGATCCCCATGCCGTGTCTCAGGACCTGCCTCACGCTGCTGGAGACGGACAGCTTGAACCTCGGCAGCCGGAAGGCCCCGACGGGGACCTGCAAGGTCGGCAGGCGGTAGTGCCAGAACTTGGGGCCGGAGGCGATCTTCTCGACGAGACCTGGGAGCCCGTCGTGCTCGTCCGGCAGGAAGATGCACATGGAGTCTTTCGGGGCGGGGTCGTCATCGCCGTCGCCGGGGCCGGGCTTGCTCTCTGATGTTGTTGACCCCTTACGTCGTGGTGCTGGCGCCGGTGCCGGCGATCTGTATGGGAGCTTGAGCACCTTGTACCCGCTGCGGACGGCGATGAACTGGCTCCGCACCGAGCACATGAAGGGCACGTCGGCGGTGCTGCCGTCGAGGCGGTAGAACTTGTCCACCACCGTGTGCGCCTTGGCGAACGGCGCCTCCCATCTGCCCTTGAAGTAGATGGCGCTGCAGAGCACGAGGGTTGTGAGTGTGTCCACTGAGCTTGGATCAAGGATCGAGTCGATGTGAGATTGTGATTGTTGGTCGCCGCAGCCAAACAGCCGTTGATCTCGCCAACCGCCTTCTCCGGCTTCACAAAAGAGAGAAAAATTAAATTTTGTTTCAGTGCAATCCATTAATTAATAATAATGTACAAGAACCGAAGGGAATTGGGATGATTTCGATTAGATCCGTATACACGTTACACTAGTAGAAGATCTCACCTCGTTACTGAAGTCGACGGCGCGCGCCTCGGCGTTGTAGGAGGCGGCAGCGGCGTCGCGGAAGGCCGGCAGGAGCGCCCACGCGGCGTCGAGCCACGCGCCGCACGCGAACGCGACGGCCGGCCCACCGCCCTACCGGTCCGCGAGTGCGCGCTCCGCGGCGCGGCAGGCGAACGCAGCGAGGTCGTCGCCGGAGTCTCCGCCGAGCGCGTCACCACCGGCGAGAAGACGAGGTTGGCGGCGGCGGTGCTAGGGCCGCCCGCCGGCTCCCCCGCGACGACGGCGGCGGGCGCTTGTAGTTGTAGTTGCCTGGTGAAGCAGAGCGCAAGCGCCGTTAGGCCGGCGGCGTTGGACCTGCGCGCGGTCTTTCCTGATCTCCGTCGCTTTCGCGTC